ACACTAGGCTTTAGGGTTTAGACTAGGGATTTGTAATTAGAATTATGTACAGTAAATGTACTTAAAAAGGCTAATCCGCCAAACTAACACACCTGTATATTTAAAGATGAAATAATGCAATATCTTCTACTTAGACTATAATACTATAATAGGACTCTTTGTCTTAATATAATAGTTGCCCTATATTTCTTTCCCCTTTGCTTTTACTAATATTTAGGGACTGGGTTGGGCAGATTGTATTAGGCATAAAGGTCGGAATGAATGTTGAGTAGACAAAAACAAAGGTCAGACTGTTAAGAAATTGTTTCCCATATGATTGATGACTCGGGTTCTTACAATAAAATAATACTCACTAAGAATATTAATAAGTTAGAACAAATTAATCATAATAACAAAAGAAATAAAGAAAATAATGCTATAATATAACAAAATATCTGGCGGCTCAAATCACAACCCACTCCGCGCCAACTCCAAACCTCTTAACCAGACAACACCACAAAGGGAAAAAAAAAAAGTTTTAACACCGAGTAACCCGCAATGTTACAAAGGACAAGAGAAGGAGATTAGGTAGAACAACTCCGGCAACCACCAAGGAATAACACAAAGAAGACATAGTATTGCACCAAGTGCTTCCACCCCCTCAAAACCTACGAATACCCATCGATTTATATAGCCAATGCAAGATTGGGGATAAGGCCAAAAAAGGGGGAAACAAACATACCTTATCGGAACCAGAAGACATTTGAATGGAGCCGTAGAGGATGTCGCCAAGGGTTTATCGCATTTTCATCGCAACAGAAGAAGATAAAGAAGCAAGACCGGTTCGGTTCAATTAGGGTGAGTTTGTGGGATTATAAATCATAACGGGTCAGGTCAATCGCAAAAGGATCAGGTCAGGTCTGGACTTGGATCGGGCAGAAATAAAACCCAACAATTTCCCCCTTGTTTATGGTCGACTATCATTGTTGCTTTGGAAGGCAAAACAAGAGTGGGGAACATACTTACATCATTGCCTTTTTTTATATGTGCAACTTACCACAAAGTTATAGCACACAAAGCATATAAGAAACACAAAGTAAGTATATATGCGAACATATTTAAACAATACAAAGTTGTAGCATATCAATAAACAACAACAAATTGTAGCATATCCATATATTTCTAAAGTTAACACATAAGCACATAATCAAACTTTGAATAAAACATAATCAATACCAACAAAAGCATGCAACATAGAGTTACTAATCGAAAACAAATTTCTCAAGGGCAACATCATGTAACAACTCAGTTTTTCATACATGGTCAATAGTAGCCAAACTATTTCTTACCATAAACACATTACCCACCACTCCATTCTCTGTCGCCAAATTCGCTTCATTACATTGTTCGTTTCTAAAGTTTTCTTTATGATGTGGACATTGATTTATAAAATGATTCTTATTCCCACAATTATAGCACTTCTTATTCTTACAGTTTTATTTGCCCTTATTCTTTCTATTGTCACATTTTTCTCACTCGTGTCACTTACCCTTACCTAACAAGACCTCATCAAATGTTTGTTTTTCATTCCTATTAACTTCCAAGTCTAATTTCTTACTCTTTAATCCAGTCATAACTGTTTCAAGAGTTATACTATCTCTACCATAATTAATAGCATATTTAACATCAGAAAAAGATTCAGGAATGACATTCAAAAGAACAATAGGGTGTATTAATCAATATTCTTGTCTCATGTGTGTATTTGATAATTCAAGTTTAAATCTGAAGAACTTTTCAAATAGAAACGATTTATTCGGCAAAGTCCTTTCCATATAGATTTCTTCTAGTTTTTTTTCAAAGTTGTTTTCCTACTTTTCTAATCACAGATTAAGATATATTCAATATTATCAACAAATATGCATATTCATCTAACTCAAATTTTTTTTTTCTATCTTCAGTCAACAAATGATTAAAATTACCATCAATGAATTTGGCAACCTTTTGTGTTAGTAAGATATTTTTCACCTTTTGTTGTCAAATTGAATCAATTTTGCCGTCAAAAGGTGCAATACACAGAATTTTTATAATGCCCAAGTATCAATACAAAGCCACACAAGAATGTCACATAATTTACTAACTATCAGTGGACAATTACTAACTCGCTTTTGTAGCAGCCAGTTACGTGATAGTAGTATCAACACAATCACAAGAATTATAATCACCAAGATTACCCACAAAGAATTTTACCACAGCTTACCCTATTACTAATTAACCAATAAAGTAAGGGTTAACCTTCCGTTACCAAATCAATAGCAAAGTAATATTCTGATTTTTTTTTCAAACAAACGTCAAACCCGTGTCTGATTCCAACCAAAAGCTCTGATACCATTGTTAGGAAATTGTTTCCTGTAGGATCGATGGCTCGGGTTCCTGTAACCAAATAATACTCACTAAGAATATTAATAAGTTAATACAAATTAATTAGAATAATAACAAAAAAGAAGAAGAAAATAATGCTATAATATAACAAAATATCTTGCAGCTCAAATCACAACCAACTCCGCGCAAACTCCAAGTATTCCAACCAGGCAACACCACAAAGGGAAAAATAAGGGTTTCAACACCGAGTAACTCGCAGTCTAACAAAGAACAAGGGGATGAGTTTCGGCAGAACAACTCCGACAACCATCAAGAAATAACACAAAGACACACAGTTTCGCACCAAGCGACTTCCACCCCCTGAAAACCCACGAACACCCATTGATTTATATAGCCAATGCAAGATTGGGGATAAGGCCAAGTAAGGGGAAAATAAACATACCTTATCGCTAGGACAACAAAATTGGAACAAGAAGACGTTTGAATGGAGCCGTAGAGGATGTTGCTAAGGTTTATTGCATTTTCATCACAACATAAGAAGAGGAAGAAGCGAGACCAGTTCGGTTCAGTTAGGGTGAGTTAGTGGGATTATAAATCATAACGGGTCGGGTCAATCGCAAAAGGATCGGGTCGGGTCTAGACTTGGATCGGGCATAAATAAAACCCAATACAGACACTTTCGGACATCGAAGAACTGTGCATTTCTTTCCATTACAAGAAATTATCAATTTTGTAACGAGGTTTTTTTGTTCCTAAATTCACTTTTTCCATTACTAATTATATTAGAGACGGAATTAGAGATGAAATTATCGTTAGCTACATGAACTTTAGGAACATAATTCCGTTACAAATATACTATTTTTTTTGTAGTGTTCTCAATATTTCCGTATATGTATTTCCTTGCAACTGCTCGGCTTTTTACCGCAGTTGGCCATCATCTTTTATTTATTTATTTTATATGAAAAAATTTAATAGTTTTTTAAATTAGTATATTTGAAAAATTAAATTTAATATTTGTGTAATAATAATTTTTATTAAATCAATAGAGTTTTAATTATTTAAATTTTAAAATTTATGTATATTGCATCCAGTCTTGCACATATATATTTTTAATGAACATATATATTTTAATAAATTATATTATATTATTTATAGCACATTAAAAATTTTTATCCATAAGATCATCTTCAAAGCATATGATTTTTCTCTATTTTTGCAAGGCGGGGAAAAATTAATAGCTCCAACATACCCTGTAAATATACAAATTTCACATTCTCATCGGACAAGGTGCTATAGTATAAGAAGGTGCTATTTTTAATTTTTCTTCAATATATAAATTAATTTATAAATTATAGCTATGTTCTTTTATTAAAATTTTTTCTAACATGTATTTAAAAATAAATTAATATATTATACATTTCTTATTTTTATATTACATACATAATATTTTATTATCTCATATAAAAAATATTCTCAAACAAAATCACAAAAAAAACACGCCCTATATAATTTTGATCTATTTATTTTATTTTTAATATTTTTTTAAAATTATATTTTTGTGTCTTTGATTTTATTTTTTATTAATTTTGTTTTTATTATTTATAAAATAATTTATTTATATTATAATTTTATAATTGATATTTATAGTAAATTATTTATTTATTTAATTAATTATGATTAAATAATTCTAAATTATTTATATGAAATTAAATTAATTGATATTATATTTAATCAAATAATATTGCTTATTTTTATCTACATTTTATATAAATACATTAAAGTTTTATTTTTTAATTTAAATATATATGATTTTTTTTATGATCAAACAACAAAAATAATAAATATAATTTATGCTTGTAATATTTAAAATGTTAATAAAAATACTATTATAAGTTGTGTAAAAATAATAAAATATTGAATGTTATTTGTAAATTTAAAAAGTTAATTTTTTTTGATTTATTTAATAAATTTATATTTATCTTTTACGCAATTATACATAATATTAAATATATATTTTAATTTATATAATTTTTATATAAATATTATTATATTTATAATATAAAATATTAATAAACTATTTTTATTTTTATTTTTATCTTGATTTATATTATTTTTATATAATAATTAATATTTTAAAATAAATAAGTAAAAACAAAATAAACTTTTAAAATTGACGAATATAGTATAAAATAAAATATAGAAAAAATATTAACTCTGAAAAAATTATAAGTTATGGTAAAAAAAAGAATTACTGCAGCGATAGAAATAGAGAAATATACTATAACTATTGCAAAATAAAATTATAAGTTGAATACTCCATTCCATTCCAAAAGTATAATATTATTGTGTTGGATATGAGATACAAGAAATATTGATATTATACAGTGGTTGGTAAAAAATATAAGTAAATGATTTTTTTGCCATTGGGAATATATTAGTGTAAAAAGTAGTGACACTTGTGTAATAATAATAAAAAAAATAGGGATAATTTTATGGTGATATGATTATTTATGAAAATAAAACTATTGTTTTGATACGAATAAAAATGATAAATAAATTATTGTATTGGGACGAAGTTAGTATTATATATATATATATATATATATTTATATAGAAACGATATCAGCTACTTTGGACAAGGGCGCATTTGGAAAATCGCCACCGGAATATTCTCACTTTGAATTATTTCCTAGTGCAAAAACCACTTAGTCAAACTTCCAAGCTTCGCCTGCCTGCCTCGCTTCGTATGTCTTTGACTCTTCCATCCGCCAGCCTCCCTCGATCGCCACCGCCCACCCCACTAGAGCAGGAGGAGGAACAGGAAGAGGAAGAAAAAAGAAGAAGAAGAAGAACCGAAATCGGATAGGGTTTCGTAACGTCGATTTAATTTGTGTGACTAGAAAGGAAAGGAAAGGCAAGGGGAAAATTTGAAAAACCTAAAAAAACGAAAAGGGGAATGAAGTGCTTCCATTTCAGCAGCGGGGACCGCCGCCCCGGCGACGGCGATGGCGTCCTTTCGCGCAAGGTCTCGTGGGCGCGGTCCCTGAGTGTGGCATCCACCAATTTGGACTCGCGCCACTCCGAGGTGGACACGGACTCGCGCCGGGACCTGGCCGACTCGTCCGGGCTGTTCCAGGATTTCCTCTCCCAGGGACGCGCAAATGATCTTCGCGTGTTCACCTTCGCGGAGCTGAAATCGGCGACCCGCGGGTTCAGCCGGAGCCTCATGATCGGAGAAGGCGGCTTCGGCTCCGTCTACCGTGGCCGAGTCAGCGCTGCTGCTGACTCCGAGATGGATGTTGCGATCAAACAGTTGAACCGGAACGGATTTCAGGTATGTTTGTTTGTTGTTTGTCCCATCCATTTGAATTTTTTGTTATGATGATTTGGCTGGCAAGGCATGTTGAGATTATTGTTATACATGATTGGAATCTATCTGTAATTTGAGTTGGATTTGGAATTGGAACTGGAATTTATATATAATGAATGAATGAATGCATGCTGCTGATGCATTCTAGCAATCAAATGAATCAGGGGCACAAGGAATGGATTAATGAAGTCAGTTTTCTAGGCATAGTGAAGCACCTGAATCTGGTCAAGTTAGTCGGATACTGCGCCGACGACGACGAGAGGGGGATTCAGCGCTTGCTGGTTTATGAGTTCATGTGTAATAAAAGCTTGGAGGACCATTTGCTGTCTCGATCAGTGCCAGCCCCGCCTCTCCCGTGGATGCTCAGATTGAGGATTGCCCAAGACGCAGCTCGTGGTTTGGCTTATCTCCATGAACAAATGGAATTTCAGGTAAATATGCCGAGGATAATCAATCAATTGATTTATTTTAACCCAATGAGTGATGATGGCCGACATTGCTTTAATCAGTGCGATAAAATTTAACTTTAAATTCGCTCCATCTGCCGTTCTTGCTAAGAAACTATGGCTCTGAATGGTCCGAGTTCAATGAGGTTTGTCTTTTGGTTAATGCATTTTATATTAAGCTTGAACTTAAATGGATCAAAAGTGGTTTGAAATTATTGCTTCGTGTCTTGTGGAACATTAAGAATGCTCTATCTTCATCCGAAGAAATCTGGCCGGAAACTTCGTTTATTGTATTGACCACCCATGATTACACTGTCATGTAACCTGGTAGGAAAGTTAAAGCACGAAATGATCTGATGTGCAATATAACTTGCTCAGTTTGTTCTAATATCTGTGGAGACGATACCTTGGCGACATGTGCATATGTGTAACATGTTACTACAATCTACAATTGAATAATACCTACGTTGTACATCTGTATGTATGTATGTATATATATATATATAGTGTTGATCTGTCTTGTGTTTTGCGCAGTTGATATTTAGAGACTTCAAGGCTTCAAACATCCTCTTGGATAAAGATTTCAACGCAAAACTCTCCGACTTCGGACTGGCAAGACAGGGCCCTGTAGCCGGACTCGATCATGTGTCCACAGCCGTGAGTTCCATTACCAGATAAACGAAAATAATTTCTTTTCCTTCCATGAAATGTACAGTATGTATGTTCTTCAGGTTGTTGGAACAGTGGGCTATGCGGCGCCGGAGTACATTCACACGGGCAGGCTAACAGCCAAAAGCGACGTATGGAGTTTCGGGGTTGTTCTGTATGAACTTATCACAGGAAGGCGGGTTCTTGAAAGAAATTTGCCTCGCGGAGAGCAAAAGCTATTGGAATGGGTAAGACCGTACGTGTCGGACCCCAAAAAATTCCACCTGATTTTAGACCCGAGGCTGGAAGGAGAGAGCTGTATGAGATCAGCTCAGAAGCTTGCATCCCTTGCCAACAAATGCCTGATGAAGCAGCCGAGATCGCGCCCGAAAATGAGTGAGGTGACGGAGATCCTCGAGAGCATGATCTGTGAAGCAGCGAGCATCCCCAAACAACAAAGTGAGAACCGTAAGAAGGGGTTTGATTTCAGAGAAGTCGTCATGAGGAACCGATCATCCTTAGGGAAGTTAGATTGGAGAAAGTGGGCTTCCACTCCCAGTCTGGTGAGAACCAAAGTAACATGACATTACGACGACGATGACGATGTGGGTTTCCCATTCCTCGACCTTTTTTGTTCTTTCGATGTATAAACGTATCGTGTTGTATGTATGTATGTAGTGCATTCGCCATCCCACGGTTTAGTTGCAACTCCTAACTTTCATTTGGAAACCATATTTTGGGTGGGGGTTTAGTGATCTTATTGCAGGAGATGTTTGAAGCTGTAATGAAATATATTTTAACTTTTTTACCCGAGTGCTGTTGATACCGATATAATACTGAAGAATATCGCTGTATATTTTTATATTTTTATTATTTTCATCAAAAGGAAGAATGATTTTACAATAGATAAAATCTTAATATATTAAAAAACTATACAAAATATTTAAATTGCCCTCGTACTATTACAAATACAAAAATACCCCTATAGATAATATATCTAACAGTCCCCCTTTAAACTGGAGAATACAAATCGTATGATCCAAATTTGTCATATAAAAATTTAATTCGAGGGCTCTAAGAGATTTGGTAAGAATGTCTGCAAGTTGTTCATTCGAAGCAACATGGTGAGTGGCGATACATCCAGATAATACATTCTCCCGAATAAAATGACACACCGGATTAGACGCAATATGTAAGGCAGCTTGATTGTCACAAAAGAGTTTCATATCTGAAACTTCCACTATCTTGAGCTTATGAAGAAGCTGTTTTACCAAAATAAGTTCACATGTCGCCAATGCCATGGCTCGATATTATGCCTCTGCACTTGAGCGAGCAATAACATTCTGTTTCTTACTTTTCCATGAGATAAGGTTACCTCTCACAGCATCTGAGTAGCCAATTACTTCAGTGTGACCTTGATTGGTGTACAATAATCCTCTACCAGGAGACCCTTTGATGTACTTCAAGATCTGAATAGCAACATCTAAGTGACTATCGCATGGAGACTGAAGAAATTGACTCACAACACTTACAGCAAAAGAGATATCAGGTCGAGTAAGTGTGAGATAGTTAAGCTTACCAACCATTCTACGATATCTTTCTGCGTCAGCTAATGGCTCCCCCTGTCCCGGAAGAATCTTCAAATTTGGATCCATGGGAGAGTCTACTGGCTTGCAGTCAGACAAACCAGTTTCTTCAAGAATATCCAATGCGTACTTCCGTTGTGAAAGAACAATACCATCACGTGATTGAGCAATCTCAATACCAAGAAAGTACTTCAATGGTCCTATATCCTTAGTTTGAAAATGCTTAAATAGATGTTGCTTTAACTGAGTGGCCTCTTCTTGATCATTTCCGGTGATAACAATATCATCAACGTACACAAGAAGGTATAAATATTTACCACTTGATGTGTGCTTATAAAAGACAGAATGGTCTAATGCTCTTCGGATCATGCCAAACTCCTGTATAACACTGCTAAATCGACCAAACCAAGCACGCAGAGACTGTTTCAATCCATAAAGCGAACGGCGTAGTTTGCAAACAAAAGCAGACTCCCCATGAGCAACAAATCCAGGTGGTTGCTCCATATAAATTTCCTCCTGAAGTTCGCCATGTAGAAATGCATTCTTAATATCAAGCTGATGAAGAGGCCATAAATGCATAGCAGCCAAAGCAAGAAAAAGACAGATCTAAGACATTTTGAAGCCCTGTATAATCCTCACCAAAGACCTGTGTGAAGCCCTTAGCCACCAAACGGGCCTTGAAACGAGCAACTTGACCATCTGCATCAACCTTAACTGCATAAACCCAACGACAAGCCACGGGAAACTTACCTAAAGGCAAAGGTACCAAGTCCCAAGTACCATTAGCATGCAAAGCAACCATTTCATCTACCATTGCCTGTCGCCAACCTGGGTGAGAAAGAGCTTCACGAAGGGATTTAGGAAGGGATATGGAAGATAAGTTTGACACAAAGGTATAGTATGTGGGAGACAAACGATGAAAACTAAGAAAATTGTAAATGAGATGAGGATTACGAGAAGAACGAGTACCTCGTCGTAACGGTGCCGGATCCGGTAGGATAGGAGCCGCAGGAGAAGAAGACAATGGCAAGTCTTGAGAGCCAAGACACTCGATAGACGCTAGAGGAACATGAGCGGTAGAACCATCGGAAGGGAGCACTTGCGAGCGAGGACGACGACTATAAACCTAAAGAGGTGGACGCGAAAGAAGAGAAGAAGAGAAAGGAATAGGTAACACGTGGCTGACAGACGGGATCAAAGATGACAGAGAGAAATAAGGTGTGGACTAAAAAAAGGTAACATCAGTTGAAAAGGAATACCTACGAGTATCAGGAGAGAAACACTTATAACCGTTTTGAACCTTAGAATAGCCAAGGAAAACACACTTCAGCGCACGTGGAGCTAACTTATCCCGACCCAATGAGTGATCATGCACAAATGCAGTACACCCAAAGACACGAATGGGGTAAATGATATAAAGGATCTTGAGGGAACAATATCTGGTGGGGAATTTTACTCTGGAGAACTGAGGACGGCATGCGGTTGATAAGATAGCAGGCAGTAAGAACAGCATCAGCCCAAAATTGGAAAGGAACATGATGATGCACAAGCAAAGTACGAGCAATCTCAATTAGGTGGCAATTTTTTGCGTTCAGCCAACCCATTTTGCTGAGGAGTATAGGCACAAGAAGAATGATGTAAAATACCATGAGATGACATAAACTGACTCACAGGAGTAGAGAAGTATTCAGTAGCATTATCCATCCGAAGTATTTTAAGGGAAACACCAAACTGATTTTGAATTTCAGCATAAAATGTTTCAAAGACGGAAAATAGTTCAGAATGAGCTTTCATCAAATAAAGCCAAGTACATCTTGAGAAATCATCAACAAAGGTAACAAAGTACTGAAACCCAAATACAGAAGTAGTTCGATACGGACCCCATATATCAGAGTGGACAAAGCAAAAGGCATATCAACCCTATTATTAACATGCCGGGGAAACAAAATGCGAGTTTGTTTTCCTAGCTGACACGACTCACAGGACAATGAAGATAAACTAGAAAGGCTTGGAACAAGCCGACGCAACTTAGAGAGACTCGGATGACCCAGCCGTTGGTGTAGAAGTTGAGGAGAACTGGCAGTGGAACATGCAATTGGGAGTAAATGTGGTGGAGGGTGGTCAAGGTGGTACAGTCTATGGAGCTCAAGTCCTTTGCCAATCGTCCTCCCCGTTCTGCGGTCCTGAATAGAGAATGAATCATAGTCAACTGTTATTGAGCAGTGCAAAGTTTTGGCTAATTGACTAACATAAACAAGATTAAATGGATAATGAGGAACAAAAAGAGCGGAGGATAAGGGAACACATGGCAATGGTTGAGCATCACCGACAGCCTTAACAGAAACTCGTGACCCATCAGCTAAAGTAACGTCAGGTAATGAGGTAGACTTATGAAATTCGGAAAACAATTATGGATTACCAGATAGGTGATGAGAAGTGCCAGAATCAAGGACCCATAGTCTAAGAGAGGTACCAGTGTGAGCGACAGAGGCAACGGGTGAATGAGATGACTGCTTTGAAGCTTGGTATGCAAGATACTCCTCATAGTTTGAACCAGTCAAAGTGACAGAATTACCCGATAACTGAGGAGTTTCAACCTGCGCAACAACAGCCCGAGGTGGCCGGCCATGCAATTTAAAACATTTATCACGAGTATGGCCCCACATGTTGCAATAAGTGCAGCGTGGACGAGAGGTCCCACGAGAGCTCCCATGAGGACTAGGATCACCTCGCATATGTGAAGAAGGTGAAGCTAGTAGAGCAGACTTGTCTCCAGAATCAATAATCGGATGTGCCACAGAGAAGACACGTAATAAATGAGAATAAACATCATCAATAGTCGGAATTGTTGAGTTGGAAAGAAGTTGATCAGGAACCGGATTCAAATCTGAACCAATACCAATTAGTGCACACACCATATAGAATGTATCACGCTGAGCAAGCTCCTCCGCAACCGTTTTCCTTGGAGGTAAAATTGAATTGAGTTCAGGTTTGATGGATGAAAATTTACCGAGATACTCTGGAATTGTCAATCCGGTTTGATGAAGATTGACCAAATTAGATACCACGCTGTAGAGGCGTTGAATATCATTGGTATATAAAGTCTTTGTATGTTTCCAGAGATCATGACAGTTCGTAAAATTGGTAAAAATTGGATGAAGGCTTGGATCAATAGATTGCCAAAGCAAACTGCATAATAAAGCATCAGCCTTAAGCCATGCAGCTTTCTCAGTGTCAGCAATATGAGCTGACGAAATAACAAGGTGATTTGCCAAACCTTGACCCATACACCACATTTGGACAGCTTTACACCAAGAGCCATAGTTAAAACCCCCAACCAATCGTTCTGTAGCAATAGCCGGGGTTGGAGAAAGAACACCCGTAAAAGAAGCAGACATGGTTGGGCAATATTTGAATTGAAGAGAAATCTAAGCCACAAATTAATAAGAATCCAACCTAGGAGGAGAAATCAGAACAACCTTGACAGACAGTAGACCGAAGGAAAGAAGAGAGGACAGCGCAGCGGTCGGCGCGGCGGCTGGCGACGTGGCAGCGGACGGCACGACTAAGGTGGATGACAAGATCATGGTGACTTTGATACCATGAAGAATATCGCTGTGTATTTTTATTATTTTCATCAAAATGAAGAATGATTTTACAATATATAAAACCCTAATATATTAAAATAATACAAAATACCTAAATTGCCCTCATACTATTATAAATACAAAAATACCCCTATACATAACATATCTAACAAATACATTCATGCATGGAAGGAAACGCTCGAATGGTGGTTAAAGTTAGAGTTCGCAATAGCTCATATTTTTATTGGGTTGAATTTTTTTTAAATGGGTGAAATCATCCAATCCGATATGTCTGTTACTGTATTTAATTTGTATTGATTCATATATATAATTAGGTTAAAATTTGACCTAGATTCAATGATTTTGTGTTGGGTTTGTTTTGAATTCAAGTTAAGAGCTTCAATCATAATCCGATCTGATTATTTGCCGTGTCGGATTTGTATTGATCCATATATATAATTGTATCAAAATTTTTAACCAAAATCCAATTATTTTATATTGAGTTCATATCAGATTTCCGTGTCCGATTAATTTTAGCCGGTCCTAGTTAAAATAGACTATATTAGTGTAGTGCAGTACTCCTCGGCCCAGTGGAGTGTAGTACTCTACCGTCTTCTAAAAATATATTTATTTACTATTTTAGCTTGTCCATAAAAAAATGTGTTAATATTAT